TAAAATGGCTTTATAAATACACGTGTTGTCTGTTCAGTTGCGAAATTTATGAGCCAAAGTCATTCATGCGCATCGTCTGCGCATGGGCAGTTCTACAATAGTCAGATATTTCGCAAGTCAGGAATTTCGCGTCACACCGGTAACAAATTTTAAAATCTTCACACGAGATTTTTTTATGTCAACACCAGCGCCCCCAAACAATCGATCGTTGCGCGGTCGGGTTCAACCCGCATAGCACTTATCACACCCGATATGGCCACCCGCGGACCGGGAATTCTCAAATTCTTTCGAGGATAAACAAATTTTGCGGGTTACGGTTGACAAAATACAACTCAAGATTTTGCCATAAACAATCGATGTCATGGGGTATGTTTTTGAATTTTTTTCCGTTTTATTTTACTAGAATGTTCAACGAAGCGTGCTCTGAACAAGGAAGTGTTAAAACCACTTTTTAAACCTTCTAGAGAACAGCCGATATGGACAACGCGAGCTCAAGTCTTCGAAATCGATCGAACAACAAAAACAAGCTGGATTCCATGTACAAAACAGACGGTTTCAATATCGTTCTACCACGATCCGAATCGTCAAACGTACAGAATTATATCTGTAGAAGGCTCGAAGGTAGGCTTGTGCCAAATAGTTTGTCACTTAAAGCTACTATTCAACTTTGAAATTTGCCAATTTTTGGCAAAGTTTATATATTTGGAATTTTGTGGGATTTAATTTATATCTCCTTCCTAATATATTGAGTTAAGTTGTAATAAAGTGTCGCAATTACTGGCAAAATTGCCACATGTTAAAATTCTAATATGTAAAGTTGTTATTTATATAGTACAAATGGTCAACAATAAATCGTTATTATCTTTCAACAAAGCAAATGCGTAATTTGAGTAGACTAGCTTTGTTTACTCATTTTATTCTCCACACAAAAATACTTTTAAATTAAGTGGCAGTCTGGGATTTGAGTTTTTTTATACTTCCGACACAGGTTCGGGCACAAAGGGTTGTTTATATGGAGGCGAGCCAGCATAGGTATCTGGGCTAGCTTGCTTTCGCCTGTGTTGGCCAGCTTGCCAAAAAAGCACCTTGTTGAGTTAGGTGTAAAAAAAAACACCTGTGGTTCCTGTTTTATATCATGAAAAAATTAGTGTCGGTAGGTCAGAAATAATTTTTTTTTACAGTGAAAATACAAAAAGTGTCCCACTTCCGCTTCTGTAGTTTGTTGTGATTTACTGTAATTTGTTCTGTTTTTCTGTAGCGATTACCGATTTATTGGCAAATACTGCGATAAAATTTAAATTCCGTTCCTTTTGTGCAATGAAACTAACGGAAAATGTATTATTTCCCTTTGCTACAAATTATCATATTTAAAAATAGAAAAAAACTAAGTTTTATCGCGGTATTTGTCGATAAATCGGTAATCGCTACAGAAAAACAGAACAAATTACAGTAAATCACAACAAACTACAGAAGCGGAAGTGGGACACTTTTTGTATTTTCACTGTAAATATTTTTTCACGTTTTTTTCAATAATTAGTGTGACAACAGATGCCATTTTGGCAGCAGTCCGCAACCACACGGAGAAAATAGGGTCGCACTGTCAATCGCGTTGAAAAAATAATAGGGTCGGCAGGAAAAAATAGGGTCGGTCGGGAACCAGAACCACGGGTATTCTTTTTTTACGCCTTACCTAATTTGTACTTAATTTTGCTCGACTATAATTTCACTCGAATAAAAAATGTCAAATTGAATACCGTACCCTAGCCAAAAATTTGAATCATAAAATTCATGATAAACATGATCAACAACAATATTGCTCATATAGCATGGACATAAATAACAAATTATCTAATAATATTTTTATAAGGCCAAATAAAAAAAAACTTGGTCAGCATCACCTCCTGCCTCTCGATTTCTACCCCCTCCTTTTTTCTATGTAAATTTCTTCGTTTCACAGCTTAAAATATTTGAAGTTTTTTTCATGCTCAGACAGACCTTTGCGCTATATACTGATCGATAGGAGCATGTGGGCTTGGCTACAAGGTTCTTATATCAAAATGGTGGCATTCACAACATCAGTACAAAACATATCATCGATATGGTGGAAAAACCGCCCCATCCCCCCAAGAAAAACTATTAAAAAAATGAGTAAAAATTTAAAAAAACACTCCCTCCCGCCTCTGAAAATTTGTGAGAGTGTGATGCTAACTAAGTATTTTTTTTATTTGGCCTAAGCTACAGTTCGAACTCAGTATATACCTTATGTTGACTTGTTTCAAAATTTGTAGATTTTTATAGAAAATGAAATTTTGTCCAGAAAGCTTTTGTGCTAAAGCCTATCAGCTTTTGTGCATAAGCCTATCAAAAATCGTAAAAGTACAGTCTTGCAAAATATTACCTAAAAAAAAATTGTGATATTATTTGCAAAATTGTGCCAATCTTCAGTGAGACCAGCTAGTTTACAGTAGTCTAAATTCAAAGTCCACAAAACAAATCAGTTTGTTTTTTCATAGGCTATTTTAAACAGTACGATTACATCGAATATGGTATTCACCAAAACTGCTCAGAAATTTGGCCAGTGGTCTGATCCTAAAGCAGGAACTATATATGGCGTAGGCTTTCCTAATGAAGATGATTTGAGTAAGGTAGGGGACGATTTTGTAAGCTGAACATTTTGTTTTTTTGCATGTACACAAACACTACACATTTCAGCTCTGCAACCCTTTTGTAAGCTGTGATTTTATTGCCAATATTTGTAAAATATGAAAAAAGATTTTTGTGTCATGAAACATGATTTACATGCCTAGCTAGGTTTGGGCGGTTTTGTAAAGGGAGTTCTGGCAAAAGGGTCGATGTTTTCAGAGTCGGTTGTTTTCAGGCTCGATTGTTTTCAGGCTGGAAAAATCGTTTGGATGTGTAGCAGAGATCCCTGAAACTTTTTTGATGGCAAACCGACATTGGCATTTACAGCAGCTCTGGAATTGACACTGTGATTGTGCACCACTTGATTGGAGCTTGTAATGACGGTTTTTCGAAAAGCTATAAACTGAAAAAAAAGTTTTAAAGTTTTGTGATCGAATTTAGTTTTGAAAATGTAAAGTAGGGTAATTTAATAATGGGTTAAAAAAGGTATTGATATACAAGATAGGAGGTAAAATTTTCATAGTTTAAATTATTTACACAGTTATTACACATTTTGAAATGATTAATTTTTCACATGTCACGTTGGTCAAATTTAGCGAAGTTTCTCCCACTTGTGTGGGCTCGTATTGTCAGCGGACATCTTACAGAAAGTGGCCAGTTCTTTGAAAAATGACAGCCGCTCCTTGTGTTATCAACAATATAGTATTGTAATTATCAACCGCTATCAGCAATAAGTTATTGGGTTGTAACACTAACCCCCACCTAACTTCTAACCCCCACCCCCCTAACCCCCACC